CCATAGCGACGCTCGGCTGAGGTGCGATGGCGGCAAAGACCGATAAAAAGGAGAACCCAAGCGGTCGTCCGCACCAGTCTGTTGAATGTGGAAAAGCGTGTGAAATCTATGAAATTATTACTTACGATGACCATGGCGTATTTAGGTCGGAGCTCCTCGTCGTGTACGTCATGATGAGTGGCGAAGATTGCATCATTAGGCCAGTACCCTTCTTCTCGGCATAGAAAAGTCGGTCCCTGACTCCAGCGGCCAGTTGGGGTGAAGTCAGCTTCACTGCTGAAACGCGTGGCTTCGTCGGCTACGTTCTCTGCAGTAGGTATCCACCTCCAGTTCGAGGCGTTTGTGGCGGCCAATATTTCAGCCACGCGGTGCTGCACAAACGGCTTGTACCGTCGGTGCTCACTGCGGATCCACTTCATCACCGTTGTCGAGTCGGTCCAAAGATGGCAGTCATTTATGACGACGGAGTGTTCTTCACGAATCGTCTGCATTAGGCGGGCCCCCAAGACGGCTGCTTGCAGTTCTAGACGCGGTACCGTGAGCGGTTTCAGAGGAGCGCACTTAGTTTTCGCGCAGACGAAGCTGGCACTCACCTCGTTCTGGCAGTTGGTCGCTCTCCAGTAAGCGACGGCGGCAAAGGCGTCCACCAACCCATTGTATGCTGAGGCGCTGTTGTTTCCCATGCAGACCCAGCTCTTGGGCGAGTGCCTCATCTAGCATCGTGACTGAGGAACCTTCGTCCAGCAGTGCATATGTATCGACGCGCTTGTTTCTTCCATGCAAAGTGACTGGAAGAATACGAAAGAGAAGTCTTCCTTCACATGCGTCAGCGGAGCAGCTGAGGACAGCGGCTTCTGCGTCGTTCGCAGGCTGGCGTTGGAGTACTCGTTGAGTTGACGAGTGGCTGCTATCGTGTTGTTGGCGTTGCGCTGACTGCGCTTCTGCGTCCCTTGCGTTACTTGGAGATGGTGCTGGCTGCGTGTTGTTGTTGGAGGCCTCGTGTAGCAGTTTATGGTGCATTCTGGGGCATCCATTGATAGCGCATTGTTTTCGTCGATGGCAATCTCGTGTAGCGTGACCAGCGTGAAGGCACGCGAAGCATAAGCGTCGTGATTTGGCCTCCCTCCATCGGTCTGCCACTGTTGCATCAATAAAGCATTTGCACTCAAACGCTTTGTGGGCGCCCTGGCATATTGGGCACCTTCGTATCTGTTGTTTTTTGTCGACGTGCAGGACTACTCGGCGCTTCGAATCACGTCCGGGCTCTTCATCATAAATGGTACAGATCACGTTGGCAAGTGAATTTAGCCATTCACTGAAGTGCATCACTGTAGCCCGAGGCTGTACTTTAGCAGCAACCATAGCCCACTCGACTCGCTTGCTTGTTGGTAGTTTGGAAGTTAGCTCATCGAGGAGTGTCGGATTAGAAAGCTGATGTTCACCATTGGCAGACTGAAGGAAAGCACAAATGTTCCTCACCTTCGTGGCAAACGGAATCAGTTTCCCGACTGCATTTTCGGATATAGGGCCGATCTCCCGTACTTGGGCCAGCTGACTGCGTATAAGTTGCTCCGGCCGACCAAATCTGAATTGCAACTGTTCGATGATGCAGCTGATATTGCTGGGGTGAATCAGCAGAGATTTCACCACTTCACGCGCCTCGCCTTTTAAACACTTCCGTAGCCTCTGGTTATTTCCGAAGTTGCTGTAGCCGTAAGCTGCAGTTGACTCCACAAAGGCTGTGTGGAATATAGGCCAGTCTTCAGCCCTTCCACTGAAATCTGGTAAATCAATAATTTTTCTTGGCATGATCGAGCCGTTTGACATGAACTGCATATTCCCGTGACTTATGTTGGCAGAAACGGGTTGAAATGTCACATTGGATGAGTGGTGAGAGGTTTGTACACCGGCGGGAACGGTTGAAGCATCGTATTGGTTACCTGCTATCGATGAGGTGCTGCAAGTTGGCTGAGCTATACACAGTAGCTGTACTGGCTGGAAGCGAATAGC